AAGGAGTTCATCACTACCGAAACAAGTATGATAAGAAATATTAAAAGGTCTTCTTGAAGAAGAAGAGGAATATAAAAAATAAAGTGGCAATAAACAAATACCCATCAACAATTACTTTAAATGTAAATAGATTAAATGCAGCAATCAAAGACATAGGGTGGCTGGATCAAAAACACAACCCATGTATATGCTGTCTAAAAGAGACTCACCTCAGAATAAAAGATACACACAGACTGACAGTAAAGGAATGGAAAAGATATTGTATTCAGATAAAAAGAAACAAAAAAGGTGAGGTTGCACTACTTATATCAGACAAAATAGATTTAAAAACAAAGGTCATAGGAGACAAAGAAGGACAATACATTGTGCTAAAGGGATCAATCCAACAAGAGGTATAACTGTCGTAAATATATATGAACCCAGCACAGGAGCACCTAAATAGATAAAGAAAACCTTGGTTGACATAAAGGGAAATATTGACAGTAATAGAGTTTTAGCAGGGGATTTAAACAGTTCATTGACATCAATGGGTAGATATTCCAGGCAAAAAATTAAAAAGGGGATGGTGGTCTTTGACAGCATACTTGATCAGATGGATTTAATTGATATTTACAGACCCTTTCATCCCAAAGCAGGAGATTATGCATAACTTTTAAATGCACATGGAACATTCTTTAGGATGGATAGACCACACATTAGGATACAAACCAAATCTTAAAAAAAATCAAGAAAATTGAAATCATATCAAGCATATTCTCTGGCCACAATGGTATACAACTAGAGATCAATCAAAAGAAAAACACAAACATATGGAGGTTAAATAAGATGTTACTAAACAATGGAATGGGTCAACGATGAGATCAAGGAAGAAATCAAAAGTTACCTGGAGACAAATAATGAACATACAACAACCCCAAATCTATGAGACATAGAGAAAGCAGTTCTAAGAGGGACATTCATAGCAATACAGGCATACCTCAAGAAGCAAGAAAAATATCAAATAGACAATCTAAATTTACACTTAAAAAATAGAAAGAAAAAACAAACAAAGCCCAAAGTGAGTAGAAGGAAGAAAATAATAAAGACCAGAGCAGAAATAAATGAAGTGAGACTAAAAATAACAATACAATAGATCAATGAAACCAAGAACTGATTCTTTGAAAAGATAAACAAGATGACATACATATAACCAGACTTACCGAGAAAAAAAGAGAACATCCAAATAAATAAAATAAGAAATGAAAGGGAAGTAACAACTGACACCACAGAAATACACGTACTTGTACGAAAATACTATGAACAACTATATACCTACAAATTGGACAACCTGGACAAAATGGATAAATTCCTAGAAATATACAAATCTAGCATGCATTTATGATAAAGGCTCTTGCAAAGTGGAAATAGCATTATCATACCTCAATGTAATAAAGGCCATATATGACAAACCCACAGCCAGTATCATACTTAATAGGCAAAAACTAAAAGTGTTTCCCTTAAGATCAGAAACAAGACAGGGATGTTCACTTTCATCTCTCTTATTCAACATAGTACTGGGAATTATAGCCATAGCAATCTGACAAGAAGAAGAAATAAGAGGCATCCAAAGTGAAAAGGAAGAAGTAAAACTGTCACTATTTATAGATGACATAATACTGTATATAGAAAACTCTAAAGACTCCATTAAAAAAACTACTAGAATTGATAAATGAATTCAGTAAAGTAGTAGAATACAACTTTTTTTTATAAATTGGTGGCATTTTTATATACCAATAATGAACTATCACAATGAGAAAACAATCTCATTGACAATCGCAATAACCAAGAAATAAGGTACCTAGGAATATATTTAACCAAGGAGGTAATAGACCTACTGGGAAAATTATAAGATACTGAAGAAAGAAATTGATGAAGATGCAAATAAATGGAAGAATGTAATGTGTTAATGGATAGAAAGAGTTAACATCATTAAAATGTTAATATTACCCAAAGCAATCTATATATTTAATGCAATTCCTATCAAAATACCAATGGTGTATTTCACAGAAATAGAACAAATATTCCAAAAATTTATATGAAACTGCAAAAGACCCTGAATAGACTCAGTAATCTTGAGAAAATAGAACAAAGTTGAAGGTATCATGCTGCCTGATGTCAAACTATACTGCAAGGCTATAGTCATCAAAACAGCATGGCACTGACATAAAAACAGACATATAAATCAATGGAAGAGAAGCGAGAGACCCAAGATAAACCCACACCATTATAGTCCATTAGTATTAGACAAAGGAGGCAAGAATGTACAATGGGGTAAAGACAGTCTATTCAATATATGGTGATGGGAAAATTAAACCAATACATGCAAAAAAAAAAAAAGAAAGTAACTACCTTCCTACACCTACAGAAGAATCAACTCTGAATGGGTTAAAGACTTTAATGTTAAAACTGAAACTATAAAAATTTTAGAAGAAGACATAGGCAGTAAAATCTTGGACATTTCTTATAGCAGTATTTTTTTCTAATATATTGCCTTGGGCAAGAGAAACAAAAAAAATGGGGCTACATCAGTCTAAAGAGCTATTGCACAACAAAGGCAGCCATCAACAAAACAACAACCCACTGAATGGGAGGGAGAACATATCTACCAATGATGCATCTGATAAGGGGTTAGTAGCTATAATTTATGAAGAACTCAAAATTAAAAAAACCCCAAACTATTCAGTTGAAAAATAGGCAAAGAACCTGGATTGGCCCTTCTCCAAAGAGGACACACAGATGGCCAATAGATATATGAAAAGATGCTCAACATCACAAATCATCAGAGAAATGCAAATTAAAACCACAGTGAGATATCACCTCACACCTGTCAGAATGGCTGTCATCAATAAATCCACAAAAGACAAGTGTGGTGAGGATGTGGAGAAAGGGAGCACCTTTGCACTGTAGGTGGGAATGCAGACTGGTGCAGCCGCTGTGGAAAACAGTATGGAGTTTCCTCAAAAAATTAAATGCAACTGCCTTATGGCCCAGTGATCCCACTTCTGGGAATATATCCAAAGAAACCTTAAACACTGATTTGAAAGAATATGTGCAACCCTATGTTCACTGTAGCATTATTTACAATAGCTAAGCTATGGAAGCAGCCAGAGTGTCCACGAGTAGATGAGTGGATAAAAAAGGCTGTGGTAACAGTTACACAATGGAATTCTACTCAGCTGTAACAAAGAAGGAAATCTGACATTTTGTGACAGCAGAGATGGGCCTAGAGAGTATTATGCTAAGTGAAATAAGCCAGTCAGAGAAAGACAAGTACAGTGTGATCTCATTTATATGTAGAATCTATTTAACAAAATAAACAAAATACAGTAGAAACAGACTCATAGAGAGCAGACAGCTGTCAGAGGGGAATGGGGCTGGGGGGCTGGGTGAAATAGGTGAAGGAATTAAGCCAAAACAGTACACCCTTCTTAGGCACAGACAACAGTATGGACAGAGGGGGCTGGGGTGCAGGTATAAGAGGGTAAATGTGAGGTAATTGGTGATGGAAGAAAACTTGACTTTAGATGGTGAACACTTCATACAATATACAGATGATGTATTATCGTATTGTACACTTAAAAGTAATATAATTTCATTAACCAATGTAACCCCAATAAATTCAATAAAAAAAAGTAAATGTGGTCAAGGGGCCTTTACGTTAAAACCAAAAGAATGAACTAGCAGTACAGCAGGATACCTGCTGTACTTATTTGCTGGGTGGCTTTTATTTTTGTGCTTTACTATTCCCCTATTTTAAGATGTCGAGTCAAGGTATGTGAAGTACTTGCCTACGATACAGCAGCTCAGAAGGACAATGTGCATGTCTGTGTACACTCACGCATATAAGGAGAGTCAGGGCTGTTAAAGGGGTTAGGGGTGGGCATGGCCAGGGAAGGAGAAAAAGTCACCGATGTGGGCACTGAGCCTGTCTGAGTCCCCAGCTCAGCAGAAGAAAGCGAGGGGCACTACATAAGGCCTGGCACAAAGAGGAGATACACTTTCCTGATTAACTATGGAGGCCAGCATGCCGCACCCATGCAACCTAGAATCCTATGTACCCTTGCCAAGAATCCGAATCGTTACCTAGTGATTGGGAACTACATCTGACAAGGTGAGCGGGATGTGCTTATTAGCATTCTACTCACGTAGAACAGCAGGTGAAAGAACAGCAGTGTGAAATAAACCATCAGCTAAGCCATGGTTTGGAATAAGAGGAGTACTGGCTTGATTATCACACACCTGCCTCTCAAAGACCTGGTTTCTTGGGAAAGGTATAAGCAATATTTGCCTGATAATGTTTTGGGAATGTGGTGTCTTCCTTGTGGGTTTACCTTGAGAGTTAAATTATGAGGCGGACAAAATTCATTTATTCTCCTTTTCCTCCATTCAGCAAACGTTTACTCTGTCCTTACTAGTACTAGCACAGCGCCAAGTACGGGGTTACAGAGGGCAGGGGTTACTGAGGGCAGTCTGCAAAAGCTCTCCACTGCCTTCTGGGAGCGCGCACAGTAAAAAAATTGCTTGGCGAACAAGAGGCTCAACAAACACTATTTTCTTTTCTTTCTCAATTTTTAAAAATAATCTGAGGTATGTCTCTTATTTTAAACTTCTTAAAATTGCAAAACTGTGAGTGACCCTTGATGTATAAAAATGAAATGTTTCTTTCATTCCCCCTCTAAACAGTTACTGAATGCCTGTCATGTGACTATGATGTTATTACTAGTACCTCTGTGAGGTACAGTCCGATATTTTGTTTAAAATTCACAATGTGTCCACTGTGTGCCCGACACAATTGGGTGATTAAGGGGATAAATAGCTATTTGAAATGGTTTCTGGCCTTAAAATACTCTGTTCTAGTATTGTGCAGAATTTTGTAGAGTTGCCAGGAGTTTTGTGTTTTGACTCCAAAAGAGCACTCCTGACCTGCTCTTGTCTTTAATCTCTCCCTCCAGGGCCCCCGCCCTTGTTTGCGTCACCACCATGTGATGGACGTTCTGCGTCATTACGTAATGGACTTCGCTGGATCCTTGGGCTGGAAGGGGCTTCCTAGTGAGAGGCCTTCACAGGTTCCCCAGACCAGGTAAGCACTTGCTAATCAATGAGACCTCCGGAGAAAATACCCAGAGGCAAGTCCCGACTAAGGTAATTTGCTGCATTTCATTATAAATACTTCTCTAACATGCATCTTTCTGGTTTGCGTGTAAGCGGGGCAATGTTGCCTGGATCACTTTTATCAGCCTATGGAACTGCGCATTGCAGTAGAGAGATTAGATTCGCTTTTTAGGTGGTGATACACAAGGAGAAAGGGGATGAGAAAGCTGAAAAGCTCAAACTCCCCATCTGCCCACTGACAGTTGATTTTAAAGGGTGAAAGTGGGTTAGGGGTCGTCAGTGCAAGATCAGCTCTTGGGCACCTTCTGATTGGTTGGAGCTGGAGTAACAGACGTTTTAGGAGTTCTGGGCATCAGTCCTGCGGCTGGTGTGGGGATTGACGTGATGGTGGCCAATGAGAGTCAGCCCTTCTGTAAACAGTGGAGGTTTGTAAAAACAACTCCAGGTATGTGTCAACATGTGATTTGTAATTCTAGAGCTGGGACTAGTGCCATGAGATCCAGATTTATGTCTGAGGAAGTTGATTTAGCTAATGTAAGTAAAGGGTTTGGTCTCTTGCAAGCAAAAAACTTGGGGGTGGTGGGGGCTTTGTTGAGAAGGGAGGGATGCTGGCTCGGTTTCACCTGGCACCTGGGGTCAGCTGGGGCATGGTCCTTATTTGTCGAATGGAGGAAAAGAAGAATAAATGAATTCTGCTCATCTTAGGATACATGTGGTATTTTGACAACCACACGCACACACGGTAAAATAAAATGGAGGGCATTCACCCTCCCTTATGCAGTCCACTCCAGCTTCTCAAGAACACTACACTCTTCTGATGACTGATTGTGTCTCATTGCATTCTGATTGTCTCTTTTCTGGGAGCACGTCACACAACTTACAGGTTGCAATGTAGCTGAATTAAAGGGAAATTCTGTTCTCCTACATTTGGGAAATAACAGGGTTAAACCACGTTAGAGAGATTGGTTTTAACTATAGGACTTCTCAGGGGCATTACTACTGACTGCATAGTGAATCTCTCAAGAGATGTGACGCACAGTATTATCTTTTTTTAAAGTATATTTATTGATTATATGCTGTTACAATTGTCCCAATTTTTTTCCTTTTGCCCCTCTTCCCCCAGTACCCCCGCCCTTCCTTCCAGCAATCCCCCCACCTTAGTTCATGTCCATGAGTCATGCCTGTAAGTTTTTTTGCTTCTCCTTTTCCTATATTATTCTTAACACCTCCTTGTCTATTTTGTTGCCACCAATTATGCTTCTTGATCCCTGAACCATTTCCCCCATTCTCTCCCATCCTTTCCCAGCTGATAACCCTCCAAATGATCCCCATACCTATCATTCTGTTCCTGTTCTGTTTGTTTGCTTAGTTTTTGTCTTTTTTAGATTCAGTTGTTCATAGTTGTGAGTTTGTTGTCATTTTAATGTTCATAGTTTTGATCTTCTTTTTCTTAAGTCCCTTTAACGTTTCATGTAATAACAGCTTGGTGATGATGAGTTCCTTTAGCTTTACCTCGTCTGGGAAGCAGTTTATCTGCCCTTCCATTCTAAATGGTTTTGACTTTTGGATTCTTTTCTTCTGCAAACTTGAGGTCTGCAACACAATGTTTGAGAAGCACTGTGTCTGGCTGTCATAAGTAAGAAACATAATTCTCCCAACAGTAATGAGGTACAATTGAGATCAGTTTTAGTTTTTGCTAAATTCCTGCTAAGGAGAACTCAGCGGTGTACTATTGTCTTCACAGATAGAAAATCTAATCAAATGTTAACCCTGGTAAGTGGTAGGAAATGAGCTTCCGAGTGTTAAGAAAAGCCAGACAGCCTCCCAGCAACAGTCTCCCCACATGGCCGACCTCAAGGCCAAGCCGAAGCTGCCAGCCGCATGCCTGGGGAGATTCCCATGGAAGCAGATGGCACTGCCTGGAGACAGTTGTCCACAGCTGGGTATCTCGGCTCGCGAGTGCTGTCCAGCTGAGGACCATTCAGGCAAAATGCTGGGTGATGGGCTTCCCGCTGAAACCCATTAGCGCTCTTGCACATCACATCCCTCTTTTCCTTAAAAAGGGAATTGCACTTTCTGAAATCATGTCAGAAATACCTGCCCGTGAAAATGCAAGGCCAGTTATGTCCTTTAAAAGAACAACTTGAGGACAGAAAGGTATTAATAAAGATGGGGGTTCCTACTGTTACTGAACAGAGGTCCAAGGGGGGGCAATACTTGGCCTACCCAGGGATGCCAAAAACTGCCACAGAACAATAGGGGCCCCTCCCAAGGACAGAATATCTAATACCTACTGGGCTCTTCTGTCCCCCGCCAATTGGAAAGACATCTCTCAATGCTAGAGATTTGTGAAAAGAAAACTAAGTGTTTATTTAGAGCTGTACAGACTTAAAATAGTGACCTGATGTCCCCATAAAAATATCAAAGTCCTTTTGGGTATACACCTACAGCCACACAGTGCTCCCTTCTTCCGCTGTCCCAACTGCAGGTACCATAAGTCAGGAAAAGAGCACACGTCCATTTTTCTAGGCCGCCGGTATTGTCAGCTGTGTTGACTGTCCAGGCAGGATCTCCAGTTAATCCAAAGTCATGTGGCACCCTCTCACGGTCCACTGGCAAGAGTTCTTTGTATCCAGTTCCAGTCAAAGTCTCTCCTGCTTCCCAGGCCACTCGCCAAAGGGGGCACCCCAAAGCTGTGTGGTCCTCTTCTATCAAAGCTGCAGGGGTTCGCACTTCGCCAAAAGCGCCTGTCTTTCTTCTTCACCTGGCTGCAGGGATCTCCATTCTGGCAAAGCTGCATGGTTTTCCCTTTTACCTCACTAAGAGGGGGTCCTCACTCTGCCCAAAACTGCACGGCTCCCTCTTCACCTGGCCAAGAGGGGACCCTTACTTTGCTGAAACCACGTGGCTCTCCCTTTCGATGGCTGCAGGGGTCTGCCCTCTGACCAAAAGCGCATGGTTCTCTCTTTCAGGGCTGCGCATTTGGGTTTAAATCTCTACGCCCATCCTCCTTTGCAGCCCCAGTTCCGACTCCTCCTACAATCAGTTGCACCTGCCAGTATTTCTGTATTATTACAAGTTTACTCAGCTGCCATCTTAGTCTGGGCAGGTATGGCCCCATGGCATGGAGCCAATCAACTCCAAGCTCTCACACAGGTGCTATAACTCAAGGGACCAGCCCCTAGTTACATCCTGGGTAGAAGCCACTCCCTTCTCCCTGGCTCAAAGCATGGCCACAGCTATTTAACATATCTATGAAACCAGTTAAAGGTTATAGATATGTTAAATGACCATTCTAGAGGTTAGCTGCAAAACAACTCTCAATGGCCTTGCTCCATTTGTCTCTCCCCCCTGAAAGGGCGGGGGTGAGGACATCTTAATATTTCCTGGACACCCTGAGCTCTGGACCCCATTCCAAATAATTTTTTGGGGGGCCCCTCTCCTGGCTGTGCCCTGTTACACTACCATAATTTCTCAGCCCTTTGGTGAAAGCTGATGCTAGGACCCAGTATCTGCTGTGGAGCACATGGGGGGGAGGGTTCTCCCTGGGGGGGTCCCTACCATAATACCTTCTTAGTGACGAGGATTATTTCATGGACCAATTCATAGTTAGGCTCCTCTAAGACTTCCTCTTGACTGGGCCTTGACTCTGGGTTTCTGTATCTGTCCATCCCAAGTCAAGTTTTAGCAGGATTCCTGCTGAGTCAGTTGGGAGAGAACTCCACCCTCCCACTCTTGGTTTCTGCTCACCCTTCGTATCTGAGGAAATCTCTCAATCTCCACCCTTGATATTTGGTCACTCTGGCCTGCCCTCAACAAGAATCCTGTTAAATTGGCTTAGCCAAAATCTCCCTTGATGTCCTCTTTTAGTAACTTTCCATCCACCAGCCCCTCACTTTACTTCTTAGATATAAATCCCCACTTATTGCATTTGGAGTTGAGCCCAGTCTCTCTCCCCTGTTGCAGTAGTTCCAACTAAAGTCTTCATTACCCTTTTAACAGGTGCAAGAATAATTTTTTCCTTTAACATTAGACATGGTTTTTCTACTATGTAGCTGTCTGCTTGGGATTCTTTGTGCTTAGTTATAATTAGCAAAGGTGAAAAAGTGAATGTTTTGAGAAAGTACTCAGAAGGAATGCTCTGAACAAAGATGATCATTTTCTCTTTAGCTGATTCACAAACAGCTAGAACTTCAGTACAATGGGAGCGCAGAGAGAGGATCACCAGGAGGTGAGAGAAGGGACAGTTCCTAAATTATGCCCACGGCAGGATGCCTGTAAATACATAATATCATAAGCGTGGCCTATCATTTCCAAAACTTAATTTCCCAATGACTTTTCAAATTTAAGCTCAATGTTAAAGTAAAATTAAAAATTTTGTAGAAAAAATGATAAATATTTCCATAAAAATTTTTTCTTGGCCTTCCTCTAAATAGACATTTAATTTTTATGTAGTTCTTCTAGCTGTACCTAAAGAAATCAGACATTCTCGTGTCCAGAGCACTGAACAAATTGTAGTCTAATTTGGACAGTTGTCCCAGAGCACCGTCTGTCTTAGCATTTGTCCTAGACAAAAATCTCATTTGGATTGTGAGTTACATGAATCCTGGAACCCTGCCTGCTGTCGGATACACCCAGATGCGGCAGTGCATACACCTGTGTGAACACCCACTCTTTGTCAATAACTCTGTCAGATGCTTCTCATGTCCTGCCTTGTGTTCTCCTGGTTTCAAATGTTTTCTGGGCCTTTGGCCACCTGGTCTCCACCTGTGGAGCCAAATGTGTATGGCGCTACCCAGCTGCCTGTGGAGCAATTGATTTTACTTGTGTGCAAGCAAATGGTGCCTTTCATGCCACATCTTCCACCTCTTGCCTCCTGCTCTGAGTTCTCCTGGTTGCACTCAAGGAATGAGACTTTGCAGAGCCCTTTTGGCTCCCTTGCACAGGCAGTGTGGAACGCGGGATGTT